GCACACAACTGCAACGTGAACACTGTGACCTTATCCACAGTGACAATAACCGAACAACTTTTTACCATAGAAGGTGAGTCATTCAAATGGTTCGTAACATTTGCTCAACAAGCGCGATGCCAGTGTGCCACAGTCTAACGACCTATATGGATCCTGTACCAAACTTGTTAAGTGGGGCACTTGGTGCCGTAACTGTTGCAAATTCTTCCATGAGAGATGTCTCCGAGTTAAACCTAGTCAAGTCAAGTTATTAAACAAACCAGACTCGCTATGGTTCTGTGTGGAATGCACATCGATCCCGCTGATAAAAAGCGTGCTTCTATTATCTCAGAAGTATGACCAGCTACTAGCCAAGTTTGAGGAAATAGTGACCACCAAAATCACTGCGGTTGGGGTAAGCATAGCGGGCTGTGCAACCCAATCCTCCCCCTTGGTTGCTGCTCCTAACCCGCGAAGAACTGTTAATAACACCGTAAGCAACACGACATCAACTGCTGTTCCAATGCCACATGTGGCTCCCATTTGACTAATGCGGTTCCCAGTTTGATCGGAGTAACTACACGTAAGGCTACTTTTAAAATTCCGACGGAGTGCGTAGAAAAAGTGCAAGCCGATACTACCAAAAGTTGCTTTACGGTTGCCTCCAAGAAGAGCCGTCATTTAAACTTAACCTTACCCCCAACTGGATCGGATACTGATGAGCGTAGCGGAGTTTTCCTAGTGCAAGCACCACCGGTTTCCTGCGATACATCTCCGAGTATTTCAATTACTAACCGCGACATGTCGAAAGGTGTAAAGAAACAACTACCTGTACTGAGCTTACTGTGCTCCAATATCCCGGAATCAAAGTCGACGTCAATAAGAGGCAAGCAGTTGGATGACCTCAACCAATGGGACATTATTAGTAACCTAATCGGGGTTGTACTGAAACCTGTACAACTAGTGCGTATTACGCGACCCCCCAACTCTAAACATTTCGGAGAGCCGAGACTTCTGCATGTTGTGCTGAACTCCATCACTGAAGTAGAATCAGTACTACTGTCGGCAAGTAGTCTCAGAAATGAACACTGCTCCATCCGTATCTTTCCAGACATCCCATGGGGCGAGCGTTATCGAGTTAACCGCACCTTAGAGGACCACCGGAAGGAAACTTCAACCAGAACCATACTTCTTCACGGGGTTCCTGAAACCGAAGCATGTGCTAAGCATGAAATAATAACCCACACTTAAGAAGAGTGGTGTTATATTTGTGAAACACTCTGCTTGGATGATGTGTTGGCGAAATCCGTGTCACGACTGCGTACCTCACCGAACTACAAAGGAAGTGACCTGAGAGTGTTGAAGGCGATCCTTCAGTCAAAACATATGGTAGCGTGGCGGCTAAAAGGCTGGTACATGTTTCGCTCCAGGCTGTCATCTGAGGTTCGGCTGAAGGCAGTCAGCGATATGCCACCTAGAGATGATATGTCACCCAAGTACCAAAGGCGATGGGATCCGTGTAAGAACAATGCACCAGTAGTGTGTCGAATGAGCCCATACAACCTGTAAAAGATGATATTGACCAGACACCTTACACTGCACGTAGAAGATTAGACACGGGACTAACTACACGGACGATGAATAAGACGTTAAACTCTTCACCAAGTACACATCGAAAAAACGATTAGTCGCCGGCCACTCACTGGTCGGCGAAACTTCACGTATGAGTTGCACAACCTCCGAAACATTGCTTAAATCTGAGAAACTTTCATGTATGTACACTAACGCCCAAGGGCTCCTCAGTAAACTTACGGAACTTTGGCTACGTCAGGTTGCGAATGGTTAGGGCCTAATTTCGATTACCGAAACTTGGTTACACCAAGAGGTGACTGATGCTGAGGTTGAGATAGCCGGAATGTCACTCATCCGGAACGACCGCCCCAGCAGAGGAGGTGGGGTCCTACTCTACTACCGCAGCGACCTGCAATGTGCAATAGTTGATGATCTGGAAACACGTTACCGACTCACTCTGTTGCCGTCTCCGACTAAGACACTACGACGCGTCTCGTACCTGTCGTTTACTGCCCCCCAACGTCCACTCCGGAAATGGATTCCCTCTAGATACATGTTTTGAACAGAGTAACACGCACTAGGTACGGCCACATTCTCATCTCCAGGGACTTCAATCTACACAATCTGGAGGTTTAGGCATCTCCAAGTGAGGAGTTCAAAGCAGATTTGCATGAACTGATCGATATTATTCCCTTGTACAATTATGTCACCACGCCCACTAGATTCAGGACAGCAAACAACCGTCTATATTGGACCTTATGCTCACGAATGAAGAGCTCATGGTTGACAAGTTGTTGATGAATAGTCCATTAGGTCTCAGTGACCATGTAGTTATAACGTTCAATTGTGTGTTATGCGGAGTATCCATCTGAACACTCGGAACTAACTCATACCATCACACGTTACCACGTATTGAAAGAACTCGTCGACGCAGCTGCTTGGGAATTCTCAAACAACAGTCCACTTGACAACGTTTGGGCAGAGTTCGTTGATAGACTCAGCGACATCGTCAACAGAGCATCAGAGACCAAGCCCCTTCGTCCCGCAAAAATGCCTTCAATTCTTAGGAGCAGGACTCGAAAATGCCTGGCGATAAGGGATGCAGCATGGCGTGCCTACAAGATTAACCCCGACTCAGAGACTTGGGGAAATTTCCTGACCCATCGCAACCATTGCACTGCACTTGTCCGTGAGGACAAAGTAACTTATCAACAGTGCCTAGCCAAAAATTCATGACAAACAACAAACTGCTATATAGGCATGTCAATAATTTTCGTAAAGTGAAGCATGGAATCCCTCCACTTTTCACGACAGGCGGTAGAGTACAAAGCGCCGAAGAAGCAGCTAATGCCCTGCGGCTACAATAAGCCCCAATTTTCGAACTCGCAGCCTCAACCTGTCCCATAATGTCATGCACATTACCGACTCCACTGTTTACACATGTAATTTTCAACCCATCAGTTGTGCTAAGGAAATTACTCTCACTGTGTGAGCATAGTTCTCCGGGAGCAGACAACATCTGCCCGAAGGCACTGAAGACTGGGGCCAACAAGCTAGCTGAACCACTGTCACAATTCTTCCAAAGGTGCTTTAATGAACAAGTCCCCACTATGTGGAAGCGTGGCATTATCACTCCAATTTTTAAAGGCGGTAGCCGTTCGGAGCCTGCGAACTATCGTCCAGTGACTCCTCCCTGTGCTCACGAAGGTGATGGAAGCGGTCATCGCTGAGGCTTTAATGAACTACCTGGAAAAATGCAACATCTTGGCACCGGAGCAGCATGACTTCCGTCAACACCGGTCATGCACCACCAACCTACTGATTGCACGAGGTAGTTGGACGGAACTGGCTGATGATGGGGTCGGAGTTGACGTCATCTATCTGGACTTCTCCAAAGCTTTCGACCGCCTGGATCACCGCATCCTACTTCAACGGCTACAGAGCTACGGAATCGGATATCTTGTACTTGGTTGGATTGGCAACTTCCTTCACCAACGGAAACTTCAACTACGCGTTAGGGGATCACTCTCTAACCCGATTGAGGTGGAATATGGTGTCCCACAATGCTCAGTGCTGGGACCGCGCTTATTTCTGTTGTTTATCAATGACTTGGCAAGAGTTATCTCCTCAAATTTCCTGCTTTTCGCCGATGACGTCAAGATATGGCGGGCGATTAGTAACAAGCCAGATCACGATCTACTCCAACATGACCTAGATTGCATTTATGAATGGTCAAAGAGGAACCCGCTTCAGTTGAACATAGCTAAGTTCAATGTGATCCAGCCGGTGAGCACTTACAAGCTTGGAGACCACACATTGCTGGAGTGTGACCTAGGTGTATTGGTACAGGAAGATCTCGGGTGTTCAAAACAGGCAGAAGAAACGATGAGGACCGGCAATGAACACTTCGATCTTCTTCGCAGAGGCCTCGGTCGGTTTGAACCCTCAATCTTTCCCCAAATGCTTAACGCCTACGTGCGACCGCACGTGGAATATGCTATTCAGGCGTGGCAGTCTTGGCAGAAACAGGATCTCGTTGCTCTCGAGACTCCTCAACGAAGGGCAACCAAGAACGTCAGGGGCCTCTTTCATCTGCCCTATCAGCTTAGACTGAAATCTCTAAGAATGTACAGCTGTCGATATCGGCTTTTGCGGGGGGATCTCATAATGGTTTACCAGATTCTAAAGAACCCAAACCAGTGTTGTCACCCGCTGCTGGAATTGAACCACAACACTAACCTATGAGGTCATCCTCTGAAACTGACAATACAGTATAGCCGGCTTGAATGCCGTAGAAATTTCTTTTCCCTCCACGTGTGCCAACCTTGGAACGCCCTTCCTAATTATGTCGTGTCTTCTCACCATCTGGCGATATTTAACAAATGAGTTGACGATGCGTTGTCTCATTTGCATTTCATTTTATGACTTGTTAGCCAGGGGCTACAAAATGCAATCAAACGGTGTTTTACCCAGCTTTATGCTTTTTATACGCGAGCATCTCCGCTATTCCACACAAGTCTTTGATGAGTCCACCAAAACGCTTTTCAGTTTATCACGCGATTTGCTTTTCGCAATAATTTCCATCCCACGGGACTTGTTAAGCATTGCTATTTTTAACCGTAATACACCATTGTTCCGTTGTTGATCGACTGGGATCGTTGCAATGCTTATTGCGGTATTCAGACTCTCAATCCCTCCAACGTACTTAGGTCTGCCCCATTGCAGTTGTTTGCCTTATACGTTGTTGCAGTCTCGATGGATTCTTTTGTCTGGAATGGATCAACACGGTGGCTCCAAATTTCTACGGGCTATTTAACATCATCTTCATGTTTGAGATCAGTTCCCACTCACGGTGTGCTTTCTTTCTGTTCACCTCTTGTAGCAAATACCCCGGTGTACGATATCTTCCACCAGTACAGTTGTCTCTTCTCTCTTGCTTTTATTTGCAGTGGGTCGCTCGGAGTGTATGTTCTTCGGGGGCCTGATGCCATCTCACGTTGGCGCTCACTACTTGGGCTTACAAAAGTTTATAAGTAGGTTCCATATAACTACGACGTATTTTTATGATCGAATGTCTAATGTGTCACTGCCTCCTACCTCAATCTGTTTCAGAGCAGTTGTACTTGACCCGGATAGCTTACGTGGCATGCTAGGACTGACAGACACTAGGAATGGCTTTCATGGCTCAGGTAAGCGACTGCGTGTCTTTGGACATCACCTGTCTCAAGTAAACACTTATTACATTGGTACTATTTGTGCTTATTTTCATGCTCTGTATTGCTCGGTCGTCTTGCTCCTGAGACCAAGCATCTCCCGTCAAGATTTCTATAGTGCTTCTTTGGTTCTGCATAGCGGCAACGAAAGCCCGATGCTGTCTTTAGGTCGTCGAATGTGTGGCACGGGTCTTTTGCACACACTTTTCTACCTGCTTGTTTGCCACAATCATGGTTTTGAGGTTCAGGCTGGCGAACTCATTTGGATGTGTTGTGTTAATTCACCTGATTGCTATACGTAAATACTGATATCTCCGTCGACCGTGCGAGAAGCTGATCCCGCGAAGGGTCACGTCACTCGGTAAAGGATTCTCATGCTCATGCTTGAGTGATTAAAAAACAAGGGCTATATTTCTCAAGGGTCGCCTTATCTGCTGCATGCAGCAGAGTGGGTAAGCGAAAACATGCTACTGCTGGCGCCTCCCTTCTTTCTTTTCCACCTGTTTCTCTTACTCCCATCCCGAGCCCCATTAGTAACCTTCCTTTAATAATTTCCATCCTTATTAGCAGCAACCGATGTGCCACTGGAGTAGAACCATATGTAGCCACCTTCCCACAACCCCCATCGGACGCCTATCGGCAACAGTCCCTTATAAGGCCACACTGTTCCGTTTCCCTAGCGGCGTTCAACGTTCGCACTCTAAGACAAATAGGTCAACAGGCTGCACTCGCACGCACCTTGGACACACTGGGTATTGATGTGTGTTGTGTGTCCGAAACTAGGATCAATGAACCTAATTGGGTTGTTGCATTAACTGCACCCGTCTCGTGCTCTCGTTATTGGTTGCACGCATCCGGAGACGCCGATGCAGCAATTACATGTCAGGCTGGTGTAGGTATTATTCTAAGCTCCAAGGCTGAGTCATCGTTGGTTAATCGGATTCCGGTGAACAGCCGTTTGTGTGCAGCCCGTTTGAAGACATCAGCTAAGGTTGATTCACGAAGTAGTACAACACGCTGTTTGTTTGTGATTTCCGCCTATGCTCCCACCGACTGCAGTTCAAATGCTGTCAAGGACACATTCTATCACGAACTGGACGCGCTACTACGCAGTGCTACTAGTTCAAATATTATAGTACTTGCAGGGGATATGAACGCACAAGTAGGGCGTCGGAGCTCTTCAGAAGCTTAGTTGGGTGATAATTATGGGCTTAACTCCGAACGGACTGACAACGGTGAGCGTCTGCTGCAACTGTGTGCGGAGCACCAGTTGTTTCTTAGTAACACTGCTTTTAGACACAGTGGACGCCGAAATGCCACTTGGTGCCCTTCTTTAGCTGGCCAGAGATGGACCAAAATCGACCACATTGCCGTAAGTTACAAGTGGCGTGGTTTCATGCTGGACTGCCGCTCGTACTGGAATACCTGCATCGACTCTAATCATGCCTTAGTACGCTGTCGTTTCTCCATGAACTTTACCGGGAGGCGCATCAAGCGTCTCCTCCGATTGGCAACTGCGAAATTGTCTCAGCCCTCGGTCAGGCAAGCCTATCAAGACGCACTGCGTACTGAACTTGCGCTGTCTTGTTCTGGTGACACTGAGCTTCATTGAAATAGGATCTCGGCCGCCATGCACGACGCAGGAGCATCTGCTTGTGGCACTATCAATCGTCACCGTTCGAGTCCTTGGATATCCGAGAGGTCGGTGAACCTGTTGGAAACTAGAAGAAACCTCCCGCCTGGCTCTGAGCATAATGTGACCAGACGGACTACTAGGCGCGAAGTAAACTGGAGCCTACGCGCTGAGAAGGAAGCGTGGTGGACCAGTAGGGCTCAAGAAATGGGGTAGGCAGGAGCAGTGGGCAATTACCGCAAGCACTTTCAGCTGATCCGCACCACTGGTTCCAGAAAACCAGGCGTCAGTGAGACAATCAGAGACAGCGCGGGTGTACTGATATACATTAAGGAGCGCCATATGGTTCGTTGGACGTAACACTTTTGACAGCAATTAAGTTGACCCACTACTTCCGGACCTCTTCCTACTCAGGTGATGCAGGATGAGGCTTAGACGGTTGGTTTAGAGGCTCAGGTCCGAACTATCTGAAAAATACAACTGTTACTCCGAACCTGCAAGTTTCGTTGATCAAGTTTTGCCAAAACAGGAAATAGATTTCAGTTTCGACGAAGCACTGTCACAGTTCAGCGAAACATTCGGTCGGTTATCGTGGTCCCAAAACGGCTAGACAGGATACACATGGTTTTAGTGCGCTGACAGATAGGGTTACCGGAGAGTGTGAATGTTCTAAATCGTGCTATCTGACTGATGAGCAATTCATGCATCTTATTTATCGGTACCTTACGGTCCCCACTGCATGTCGAGATCCGCACAGCACACCTCGAAATTGGATCAGAGCACACACACGACGCTGAATTCCTTTACGGCCGCATACAAGCGATCGCTGTATCTGAAATATGACACTATCTTGGTGGAGAAAGATTCGTTTGCACAGCCGGGAAGTATACATGTGATAATGACCAAACGAAATACTTCTGACAGTTATACCCTGAGGTCATAGAAGAAGTCGACTGCACCTGTTGGGCATGCGATGATTCTACCCATCCAAGAAGCATATCCGCCATATGTGCCATTAAGAAGCACTGTAAGCATTTTGTCCACTGAACACAGTGCCGTCCCACTTTAGGAAAGAGATCGAAAATACCGATGTTGACTTTCTGTCGGTGATTGCCACTTTGCAGCGTGAGTTCGAACCCCTCCACATGGCTTTTGACCGCACTTATCAACGAAATTCCCTGGCGGATGCAGTTTGATACGCCTGTGAAAAATCTCATTTCTAAGTGCACATAGAATCACCTCAAGAGCCAGACCGTTACTTATAACAAAGTTGCTCACACCGCAGCTGGCGGAGTGTTGCATCAGGTTGGAGAAATAACCTGCAAAATCGCATTTAACGGGATGGAAAAGACCATAATCTTGCAGTTGATCCGAAGGGATTTGCGATAAAGGATAGGCTGTTTCATGCACGAACTTCATCAAGTCGATTAGGTTTGGTTCCCTTTCCGTCCCAATTACTCTAGCGGCACGATCGGCCCACTCGAAGTGCAATTGGTTGCGCAATCGTCAGCTTACTGGACTGATTATTCGCGATGTGTTCAAACCAGCCTTGTATCTCAGCTGTTTCAGCGTTAACTCACAGGGGCGCGCTTTCGCAGCTGAACGAGTGAGAGCCGCAAAATCATTGGACCTGATGTTAGGGCCATCGGTCAACTTGTTGATGTAGGTCTTCCTGTCTACCATGGGACGCCGTCTGAAACGCGAGTGGTCTGAGTTCCACAGTCGTAATGAGATATGCCAACCTCTACACCGGTGATTACAACTGAAGGGTAACTTGTCTGTGGATGCCACCCACTTTTTTACATACCAATTTACTTGCTCCTGTGGAACAAGCTACATAGGCCGTATCACAAGATGTTCGGCCGAACGTGTGCGACAGCATCTCCCAGCTTGGTTGGGTCGGGGAGTAAACAAAACTTGCACCACTGCGATTGTCGAATACCTGGCCGATACTAACCACTCGGTTGTCATCACGAAGACCTTCCGCCCGATCTAGCGCGTGAGTCCGCGGGGAGTCCGCTCCAAACTGCTCAACTGCCGCATACTTGCAATAGCAGGGGCGATCGCCATCCGTCTTAACCACCCCCCTATGTGTGCACAAACAAACCATTCAACTCCCCCTACTACTCCTCTGTAATTTGTGAGGACTTTGGCTCTCCCTTGGCCGTCTGTCGCGCACTCAACGCTTGATGTGACGACTGCAATCGTGTGAACAAGTCGAAACACAGCTGTCACTCAACTTTCTACTCCATTCTTAATACGTGCCTTAACCTGTTCTATGTTAGCTATTTAAATGTGTTGTACTTAGCCTGATGATGAATCACCGAAAACGAGCTTGTTTGCTGTACTGACTTTTCATGAGTGGATATGCCAACCTGTAAAACAGGCAACCACTGTCAGTGCGGGTGTGTGTGAAACTGGCTACATCCCGAACAACCCTAGAAACTTTTATCCCTCTACTGCATGTGTTAAAGACCTTTGACTGTCAGCAATCTGCCTACGTATTAACAGAACCTGACCTGAACAACATATGAACTGCTGGAAATCTACATACAACTTATTCTTCTTTTGTCCATACACACACAATGAAACTTGAGCGCGTGCCACCTGTATTTCCCCTCATCCCTGACTTCTGCATTTATTTGCGCAAAAAAAACCTCGGTGATCAGCGGCAACAGCAATGTGTATCATTGTCCGAAACCAACGTGTGGGGAACACCGAAACGAGAAGATACCTGTCGGTGAGCAGAGACAGTGGCTGCTGCGGTGGTTCTCATCATTGGACTCACCTCTGGCCGTCTACTGTGGCATCGATAACGATCAGAAAATAATAACCGTCACTTGGACCAGCAAAATCGACGTGTACCCTTGACCATGGTTCCGTTGGTATTGGTCAGAATTGCAATTCCGTCTTCCTTGGTTGTTTAGATACACTGGCACATCGGGAACAATTCTTCGTTAAATTCTCGATCTGGGAATCCATATAGGGCCAGTACACATAGATTCGTACCAGCGATTTCATGCGATTCATTCCTGGGTGGCCAGTATGAAGTTGTCAGACGACTCACTCTTGAAGGATGAGAGGAATGACGCCGCGATCTGAAAACAGCAGACATTTGCTGACAACTGATAGTGCTTCCTTTCCTTTGTGGAATTGTTGAAGCTCCGGCTTTGTAATTCTCTTAGGCCAGCCATTGAGGTGGAAATCGATCACTTGTTGTAGGGTAGTATCATCATGGGTCGCTTCCTACACCATTCCGAACGTTACTGGTAAGGCACCGAAAATGTCAGACACAACTTGATGTACTTGGGCTTCTACGGAGATTTGAGCAACTACCAATTCC